CTTTCCTACAGTGAGGAACCTAAGACTAAACACAATATTCCAAATGTGGCCTAACCAGTGACCTGTACAATGAAATCACAACTTCTTTAGACTTGTATTCAAAATTTCTATAGATACAACCTAAAATCCTATTTGCCCTACCACTGCTTGGATGGCTTTAGAGACTGATCAACTATTAGACCTAGATCCCCTTCTTTCATGACACTGTTAAGGTTATTCCCATCCAAATTATACTTATAATTCAAATTACAATAACCCACATGCATTATCTTGCATTTATTATAATTAAAACCCATTGCCATATATTTACCCAACTCACTAAATGATCTAAATCCTTTTTGTAAATCAGCAGCATCCTCTTCATAGCTAGCAACACCCAAGATCTCAATATCATCAGCAAATTTAAGTAATTTATTGACCATTCCTTCATCTATGTTATTGAAGTAAATCAAAAAGAGCAAAAGTTCTAAGAATGAGTCTTGAGGTACTCCACTTGTGACATTAATCTAGTTTGACTGAAATCCATTTATAACAACCCTCTGCTTTCTTCCATCCAGCCACTCTTCTATCCAATTTGCTAACTTATCCCCCCCTCACCTAAAGAGATAATTTTTTTTACAAGCCTTTTATGTGGCATCTTGTCAAATGCTTTTTGAAAATCCAGGTACACCAAATCTACACCATTACCCTAATTTACATAAGCAGTAACCTTTTCAAAAAATGTCAAAAGATTTGTAAGGCATGATTTTCCCTTAGTGTAACCATATTGACTGTCCAATAAAATTTTAAACCTTTATCAGACTTTCTAAAACTTTTCCCACAACTGATGTAAGACTAATGGGTCTTTATTTACTGGGACAATTTTTATCAACTCCCTTGAAAAGTGGAGTTACATTAGCTAACTTCCAATCCTCTGGTACCTGCCAACTATTCAAGGACTGACAAAAAAATAGTAACAAGTGGCTCACATAACCAATCTTTAACCTTCAAAACCCTTGGAGAAATATTATCTGGTCCAGGAGCCTTATCGTTCTTTAAACTTCCAAATTTTTTCTTAACCAGCTAAGAATTAACATCTTGTTTGATCTTGTTTCCATCTATCAACTGTTCAAGATTTGGAATACTGCTTAAATCTTCTTTAGTAAAAACCAAAGAAAAGCAAAATTTAATAACCCAGCCATCTCATAATTATCAGATAGAAGCCTTCCTTTACCATCTTTCAAAGGTCCTACCCCATCCTAACATTTTGATTACCCTTAATGTATTTAAAGAAATCCTTACTTTAATTTTTTATATTTTCAGCCAACCTTTTTGATGTCCTAATTTCATGTTTCACCAACTTTCTTGATCTTCTATTATCTTATAAATCTCTTGTCATACCAGTCAATTAAATTTTTTTTAAATTGATGATGCTTTTCTTTAATTTTATCTCGTACTCTTTGTGAGCCAACCTGGTTTTTTACTTGCAGCTACCCTTTTCTTTCTATAATGAATACGTCTACCTTGAATATTTAAAAATTTTCCACATCTGATCAGTGTCTCCAAATAACTCAGCTGCCCAATTCACAACAGATAATTTTTATCAAATCCCTTCAAAATTTGCTTTTTTGGAAATTTTAAACCAAAATATCATTATTCCTTATCTCCATATGTAGCAAAACGTTGAACCTAATAGAGCAATGATCACTTGCACCCACATGTTCCCCAATTTTCACCCTCTCTATCATTTCTATATAAGATAACAATAAATCTAAAATAACATTGTTTCTAGTAGGTTCCTTGATTAACTGGTAAAGAAAGCCATCTTGAACAGTTTCCAAAAACCTTTCTCCCTCATGGTTTGATTCTAGCATTTCCTAATCTATATGTCTGAAATTAAAATCACCCATAACTAAAATTTATTAACTCTTTGAACCTTTAAACCCCTTTCTGTACATGTCATAAGATTTTACAGAGTTAATTTCAAAATTGAATTAAACCACTTTTCTAAAAACTTGTTTACTCAATTACTATTATCAAGTACATTATAATTTAAGATTTTATATTATCTAAGTTTTATTCTCTTATTTTAAAAAGAAAAATCTGAAACAGCAATTAAAAGTGCAGTTTTTGTCATCACGTGATCCACTGGGGTTAAAATTTTCAAGTTTAAG